TGCAACGAGGAGTTAAAGGAAACAGTAGAGAAGGCAAAGCTCGTGGATTCTCACGTGCACTGAACAAGCTTGTCGCCATCGCACTTGTACCCACTTTTGAGCCACGAGAAGAAGCGTATTTTCATTGTATGTAAAACTCAAATTCTGTTTGCTAAAAACCAAAAACGGTATCTTCAACTAGGTTCACCGATGTTCCAATTTTTGTTTTTCTTTTGGTTTTATATTTCCAAATTTATAGTCACATAAAAATTTAAACTAAAACCAGTATAATATGGAATTTTAAAGCGATGATTAGTTATATGAAGAAAAATATTAAAAAGATCAAATCAAAGAGCATCGGAGTGAATGTGCAACAAAATGACATTTGTAACATAGTTCTTCATAAAAAGAAAAAAAAAATTGTAACATAATTTCGTCGTCTCCCTTTTCGTAGTTGTGAACTTCTCTGCTGTTCTATTTATTGTCTAACTCGTTGTGAGCTTCCGCTAGGGTTTCCTCCATCTAATAGGCTTTTCCAATGCCACGCTGAGAGTGAGATAGCATACAGTAGGAAGGTCCCAATCTGATTCAGAAAACATCTCTCGGATGAAAACATTCAAGAGAAATGATCGTCATGTATTTTAAATGACGTTTTTCGAGAGTACCATCAAATTTGATAATTTAATTTGATCTAAGCTTGGTAAGTTCATCAATGATAACACAGATTAAAGTGTCTTTTTCTTTACAAATGTATATGACAAATTTATACAAATATAATGTAACACAGATTTAAAGTGTCTTTTTTTTTACAAATGTATATTCATATATTGACAAATTTATACACATATAATGTAACACAGATTTAAAGTGTCTTGTTTTGTAATTTTTTTTCTTTGGATTGGGCAATCAAGGAGTTGTTAACTAATTTAAATATGTGGAGGATCCAAAAATTTATTTTAATTTACTTTGTATTTGTTTTTTATTGAGATTATTAGTTTTTATCTTTATTAAACAGATTTTCAATAATAAATGTTTGTACTATTATTAACTAATAATAGTCTGGATTCTGGAAGAGATTTTGTTTGATATAGATCCCGGAGTATAAATTAGACTTCCTCTGAGCATTTCTTTTCATCCTCATTTGTATTTTCCTTAAACCTTGAAAATATGGCAAACAGTTCTTGCATGGTTGTTTTTTTGGCCTGCGCTCTTGTTATTGCACTTCGTAAGTATATTAAGTCTTAAGAAAATTCACAAGGTCTGTTTTAACTGCAAACTAATGAGCCTAATTAACTACAATATTTTACCTTTTTTCATAACAGATGTCTCTATATCAGATGCAAGAGAGATGAATATGCAAGAGACAAAATATGAGTGTGACCCAGGCACAAACTGTGATTTCAAAGCTGATATTAACCAGTTTGGAAGATGCCAGAACGATTCTGATTGCGAGAAAAAATGTTTTCCTTCGTGCGCATTGAGAAAATGTTCAATTAGGCACACATGTGAGTGCAGTTTATGTTAAAGACCAAAAATATTGCGGAAGCTATGTGGTACAAAAGCAAATGTTAAAGGATTCGAGTATGTTGGTTATAATAATTATTATTATTCAGTAAAATGTTTGTTTAAAATAATTATATTGTGGTTCTAGTCTCGAATGAGTTTAGTATAATCCGATGCATAGATTTTCACCACCTATGCGAACTTAAAAATAGTTATGCAATTAAAATCAACCCCCTTTTTTCTCATGGATCTTGAGAGATGTAAAGGCAGAAAAATATACACACATGTACTTTCGAAGACTTATATTCTCTGCAATAAAAAAGAAAAGAAAAACAGCGCATAGCTAAACCAGAAAGACAAGCACAAACATAAAAAGCACAATAGAAATAAAACACAACCCAAAAAAAAAAGTATCTCAAATTTGATTTGAAAAAAAACCAAAACGATTTTATGGAGTTAACATTACGCGGATCATAATATTGTTTTCAATAGTACTGAACTAAATCTTAAACCCAACCCAGTTGACATCATTGAGAGATTCTTCCCTAAGATAGTAATAACAAGAAATATGCATATGTTAATAGTAATAGGCTTTAATGAGTACAAGCACAATAGCCATTAAAACACAAATAAGAGCCGGAGACGCATGAAGATTTCATACGAGGATCGCAATCACTCGTCAACTTGCACGTCTTTTCATATTTCAACGTTTGATAAGTCGATGAACTGCTACATTTGCATTGTCCGTTTACACATAGAGCTGTTCCAGGGCCCTTCGAGCAGTGAAGGTATGCACATTCTTCCGTTGTTTTGCAAGGAAGATTTATCTGAGCTTCCGCTGTTGGCATACTCACAAACATTGCACCTAATATGAAGCACATCGGTCCAAAAAACATATGTTATGCTCAATTACTCTATTCCAAATTTCCAATACATGTGGTTAAGTAAAAAGTCTTGTTAGAGAGACTTACAAGCGATAACAATAGCGAGGAAGACAAATGTGATATTTGATGCCATTTCTTATTTGTGGCTATAACCAATAAATCACTTTGGCTATTTATAGCCTCCTTGAAATCTCAAAAGTTAATTTCAATCTTTTTTTTTATGTACTCACTAACTCAAATCTGTAATAATTTTGGTATTGAATCATGTATTGATTTGTTGACTCATACATTTAAAAGAATCATTTAATTCTATATCCTTTTTGGTGCACTCCTATTTTGAATTAAAAAAAATTATTAATATTATCATATACTGTATTTATTACACCCAGATTCATTTACTTTTATTTTTCTAAGACTACAATAGAGTCAAATATAATAAAGATTGCCAAGAGATCATAATAGAAGTATAATCTAAAATAAAATAAAATGCTATATTTGGTTTTGGGAAAATATAGCAATAGATTCAGTTAATTGTCAACTTGCATTCATTTCTTTAATAAAGAAAAAACTAATTATTATATCAGAATTAATATATTAGAACAAATATATCAGAAAACATATATCCAAATTTGTTATCATATTCCGGTCCAAGAGTATCAATTTTATTTTTTGGGTGAAAACAAGTATATCTAAATTTACCGTTGTGAAACAATTTCTAAGATGGAGGTTATTGTGTTTTTATGTAATTAGGCTTAATGTGTAGGGGTTAAATGGAAGAAAAATCGTTTCAGTAAATACTGCAATTTCAAATATTTTGTAAACAATATGTATGAAAATTGTGGTGATACCTTAGGTATAACTGTATAACTAATAAGTATAGTCAGCGCAATTAGGAGATTTTATACATGTCGTAATAAATACAAATTTGACTGTTGATTAAATGATTGGTGATTAAATTTTCACGATGATATTTGTGACTGGCGTTACTAATTTAGAAACTCAAATATGTGTCTTGAGATGGAGTTAGTCAAACATGGGCACATATTGTCTTACTGTTACAGACCCGACGACTCTCTTAGAACATGTAGGCTAGCTAGATTATGTTCTAGGACAAACATTTTTTTATTTTTATAAGCCTCATATTTTGTTTTTCATTAACAGTAGTCCACAAACATTGAAAGTTACGTTTTTCTTTAAAATGTTACATTCCAGTTCCTTTTTAAATGATTTGTTTGTGTTTTGTACTAGTGAGCCATATGATTTATTTTATTTTTACTGCAAATTTTGGTCTTTATGAAAGAGCCCATTTTGTTTTCTTCGTTTAGACCACCAATTCTTGGACCGGGGCTGGTGACACAAATGTGTTCAATAATTAATTGGTGCAAGTGCACAGGCCATCAAAACACATATAATATCTCGAGACACATGTAAATCTCATACGAGGATCGCAATCCCTCGTCAACCTGCACTTCTTATTAGCATTACTCATCGTCTTTGGGTTGTCGAGTTTGGCTTGATGAGTCGATGAACTGGTACATTTGCATTGTCCTTTTACACAGAGAGCTGTCCCGGGCCCCCTCGAGCAGTGAAGGTATGCACATTCTTTCGTTGTTTTGCAAGGAAGATTAATCTGAGCTTCCGCTGTTGGTGTACTCGCCATCATTACACCTGATGAAGCACATATGTCCAAAAACACTAAACATTAAGCTCAAATTTTAAATCTAATAAGTATGCTTATTGCTTACGTATGAAGGCATTTTAACAAAAAAAAAAGTATGCTTAGGTAAAAATCTGGTTAGAGATATTCGAGAGACTTACAAGCGATAAAGAGAGCAACGAGGAAGACGAATGTGTTTTTTGGTGCCATTTTCTAGTTATGTTTTATGTTTGTTATCAAAGGTCAAAGGTGCCGATACCTTATATATAGACCTTGGCTATCAATTTCTTAATGACACGATCTTTTTTATTCAATGACTAGATCGTAACTCATGACTTTGGCATTAAATAGAAAATTACAAATTTTACAGAATGTAGGAGAAATGTACGTTTGGTTTGGTCTAGTCAAAATTTTGGATGATTCTTTTGCATTTACAGGTTGATTTTGTTACCAAATTTGTTATTATCCTTTTTGATGCCATATCAGTTCATCATCTCTAATGAACCGATCCGAACCAACTTCTCAAAGTTAGGCCCGTTTTATGTTACACAGGCCCCGGTCTAAAGAAAACCAAAGTAGATTAAAGTGACATAAGCGGATTTCTAGTCAACGTCTTTGTTATAACAAGTACGTACATATTCTTTCCATAGATTTAGGTCCTGTGATTCTATTGCAACAAACAATCCTAAGTCAAAAATATCACGCACTCTCCTAATCTTCCTTGTTTACACCATATGCCTTCGCATTCATCTTTCGATCCGCATATCCGTTTATTGTCCTTATTACCCTCTACATTTGAAACACTGGTTACAAGCCATATGAAAGCACTTGCATGTTAATCAAGAAAACTATATTTATGAATAAACGTAGCGATATCGCAAAACATGTATAGAGACTGTAGAATGAAAAATTCCTCATGAGCTCTACATTTGCTTATATTATGTAGAGCAAAGGCCATCAAAACACGAATAAGACACTCATGAGGCATATTTTAGCCTAATAAGAGAATCACTACCACCCTTCAGCTTCACCTTACGCGGCTTAAAATCATCCATAATCTTTAGTATGTTAAGATGATTTGATGAACCAATGCAATGACATTTCTCCCTTATGCATAGAGCTTCCCCGCTTGCACAATTGGCAGCATCACATTCTTTCGCTGTCTTGCAAGGAGCAAACGTTTTAGCAGACTGAGCTTTTGCGGTTGGTAAACTTACCATCCATACACCTGATGTAACATATTAGTCCAAAGTAAGGTTTGTTATGTACAAATCAAACAAACTTGATTTTAGTTGAAGACTTGTGAGAGATTTAGAGTCTTACGGTTATAAGGAATCATGACCGAGAGGATGAAGAAGGAAATTGCTTTCGAGGCCATTTTCTTATATGACTTACCTCTATACAAACTTTTTTCTATTTATAGTGTCCCTTTGAAAATTCGGAATTCCATATCAATAAAAAATCAGTTTAATCATCCAAAATTTTAGATTTTTGCGTTAAATACGAAATCTAGCCCACATGGTTCAAATCTATATTTTATACTGTACTATATAAGAAAGAAGAGATCCCAAAGAAAAATGTATTCGAAAATATATCAAATAAAATATCAGACACTTCATTTCTTCATCTATTTCTTTTCTACTTTATTAGTTACTTCTATTATATATATTTCCCCTTTTTAAATATATATACACAAAAACATTTTTACATTTATAATACAAATAATTTTAACAGTTAAAAGATCAACAAAAATAGCATATGAATATATTTTTAATTCTAAAAATCGTACATGATCAGAGTTTGAAAATATGCTGTATAAATTGTTGAGATGGTTATGCAGTATATAAGGTCCATCTAATAGTGTACACAAGAAAGATGATTATTTCCGTTTTTGATTGATTTTTATACCATATTTGTTATATCTATTCATATAGTTTGAAAGTACAATTTTATTTTTTGACATCATAGTTATCTATTTACTTGATAAGATTTTATTTTGTTCACAAAAATGGTAATTACTTTATAAATTTTCAAAATATGAGTAAATGTTTTTTGCAGAAAAAGGAGTAAATGTATACATTAATAAAAAATGATTAACGGATGCATGATACTTATTTTTAATCACTTTATAAGTTTATATGCATTAATAATTGGAAACACAAGTATAAAATGACTCGGTTAATTATCAAAAAATAAAAATAGGTGTTTGAAAACCAAAAGCTAGTTTGATATTGTCTGTTTTAGGCCAAATCCGTACAGACTTACTTTTTTTTTTGGCTCATTTCAAACTACTTTATCGTTTATACTAATTGGAGTTGGGTAACACTTATATACAAGACAATCTTTGTTTAATATTTTGATGTGGAATTTGAAAAAACACAATAACATCAAGTGCTCATCAGTTCAATTTTCAAACCATAAGTTCATAGACTCAAGTGCTCCCAATTCTAAGCTTTATTGCAACAGTATTTTGGATGTTCTTGTAATTTATACACCGACTACAGATCCAAAAATCATAATTTCCCAATAGCTATATCAATTCATTAGTGCTTTAGAATTCTCATAAAAGCCATGCGGGTCTGTTTTAACAACTACATATACTTTCCATACACCAAGGCCCTGGTAATCCCTTGTTGCAGCGAACGATCTTCCTGCAATCTATATTGTCTTCACAAGTCCACATCTCACACCTTCCTCTTCTTCCATGACCACACCATATGCCGTCACAATCATCGTTATTTCCACAAGTTGGTATATGGCTACGACCCTCTGCTCTTGATACATTGGTTACAAGCAACATGAAGGAGTCTACATGTTAACCAAAGAAATGGTTTTCATCACCTTTCATAGTTTTTTTGAACCAGATCACCTTTCATAGTAAGTATATTAGATATACGTAAATAGAGATATAGAGACAAAAACTTACAAGATAGTAGAAAGGAGAGGAGGAGAACGGATGTTGCTCTTGACGCCATCTCTCTTTTAGATTAGATGGAGAAAATAATTTTCTCTTGAATTTTCTCATTAGTTTTTAATGAGTATATATAGTTGTTTGATTATTGGAGCATTTAATTGTGTGGTCTTTGAAAACGTTCCACTGGTTTATATTGCTTATTAGGTAACAAGCCCTATATAACACATCGCATTTTCTGTGCCATTTACATCATATTTTGTTTCCTTACTAGTATATTTTCCTCTCGTCAATTTCGGATTACATTGACTAAATTGAATGGCTATGACCGATATGTTCCGTTTGTGGTAGCTATATATATTTTTATTTTCCATACGATGCACAATTAGTGTATATTTCTAAAAACTTGAAGTTTTTAATATACATTTATGGAGAAGTTTGACTATTTATGCTCAATATGGTAATCCGGTACCGCCGTACCGGATAGGCTATTTTTTTTTGGTCGAAGTACCGGATAGGCTATTGTATTTTGGTGGAGTATAAAATAGCTGTTTGTACAGATTTTTGATTTTACGAAAGGTATGACTAGTTTAAAAGCTGTGGTTGTAGTTGCCATTGCAGTTTCCGAAGTTTTCTCAAGCAGACAATTGCAATTAATTTGACCAATGAAATGCCCACAACACAAACGTTTGACCAATTTGGTCCGACAGAATATTTTTTTTAACCATCATTCATATGTAATCATATAAATTGGCTGGTAAAATATTTGTTTCATTCAAATATATCGAATTTAATTTGTTTCAGTTTTTCATAAATTCTATTATTGAACGTAACTAAATAAAGGAAACTGGAATGAAGAAAAAATTAAAGCATCCAATCCATGGCATAATTTTTTTTTTTTTTACATGGCCTAATAGTTAGTTTACATAATTCTACAATTGGTTCTTGAAAGGCCTGCAGTCCCATCTCTCTTGATGTTCGATAATACATATTTATTGAATTGTTTGGAAATAATATGTTTTTTTGTTTTAGAAAATTGAAAATAACATCTTATGGGTGAAATAACTAAAATTCTACTCTCTCTATGTTTTTTACTTGTTATTTAGGAGCTTTACACATATCTTAATATAATAAATTATAAATTATTTAATACTCTTAAAAAACAAATGAATTTTAATATTTTTCATTAGATATAAGGTTAAATTAGGGATTTGATATTAAAAATTATATTGAAAATGAAAATGATAACTAAAATGAAGTAAAAAGTTAAGGTTACAATGACAACCAAACCGAAATGGAGAGAGTCCAAGTATTTCCTCCACAATATTTTTTTTTCTAAATTCATCAATATTTACATCATTTTTTTTTGTTAAAATATTTACATCATTTTTCAATGCTAAATATGTAATAGTTTTATTTTTGTTTGATAGAAGGAAAATATTGGAAAGTTTGTTATTTATTATTCATATCATCACACAAAGAAACAACAAAAAACTTTTTGGTTTTTATTGTTCTCTATTTCTCTAACTCATTTACAGTGACATTCTGAATTTTTACAGACAAAACTTCCAACAACGCACTGGATCTTATAATGTTCACAATCGCTTGCTATCTTGCATTTAGGCGGCGAGATGACTGGTTCTTCATTAAGGCTTTTCCTGACTGAGAGTGGTGAAGTCGGCGGACACTGGCAATGCGATTCTACACATTTCACCAATAATGGACAAGGAACATCATGGCAATCATGTACAGTCTTGCAGCTATGATACTTTAGATGTGCTTCGGTTTTAGGTATGCTCACTGATATCATGCCTAATATTGAAACATCGATTTCGTTAATGACTCAAAAACTAAATTGATTCAATAGATTTAGTATGTGAAATTGATGATTCGAGAGAGGATATTGACTTACATGCAAGAGCTAATGAGATTAGCATGAGAGACATTGCTTTAGACGCCATTTGTTAGGGTGATGCTGTTTTTTTGGTCGAATGTTATGGTGATGTTGTTGATATCTCAAGGTAAGAAAAATGATTTATAGACGGTAACGAGAAGCATACCATATTGGTTTACAAATATATTGTTGACTGAACATTAAAATGTAAATAAATGGATGGTAAGAGAAATGTTATCTTAATCACAGTCTTTGAATTTTTACCATAACTATACTCCATTTATTTTCATTCTAAGACTATGATTAAGATATGGTCAACAATATATTACCATCCATTTATTTTCATTTTAATGCTTGGTCAAAAATATATTTGTACGCTCTTGGAAAATGGATTATAATTATTTTAGGTGATTTTGAATGATTTTGTAAAAACCCCTGTTATTCAATTAGGAATTTGTAAATGTCATTTCAAATCCAGTGTTATTGAATATGAAGTTTTCTATCATTCAAATCATTTACATTACCCTGTTATTCAATTAATCATTTGTAAATCTTAAATCAAATTAACTATTATTCAAAAGTAAATAATTATTTGAAGAAAAACTTGGTACAAGTTTTCATGTGTATATATTGAAGGGCTCACGGTTCCATCACTCTGGATGGTTGATAATACACATATATTAAATTATTTTGAAAATAATATGTTGTGGGTGAAATAACTAAAATTATTCATTTTCTGGTTTTTCTTAAACGCATATTATTAAAATATCCTTAAATACCAAAAACCAAAAGTCTTTTAATATTTTTAATTAGATCTACGGTTAAATTAGAAATTTAATACAAAAATACATTAGAAAATGAAATAGACAAAAACAAAAAATTAAGGTTATAAAGACAACTACAAAAATGGAGGAAGTAATAGTCTTTCCTCCACAACAGTTTTTACTAAACCCATCAATATTTACATCATTTTCAATGCTAAAATGGTAATAGTTTTATTTTTGTTTGATAGAAGTAAAATATTTGGAAAGTTTGTTATTTATTATTCAAATCATCACACAATGAAACAACTTAAAACTTTTTGGTTTTTATTGTTTTTTTTTTGATAACTATTGTTCTTTATTCTCTAACTCATTTACAGTGACATTGTGAATTTTCACAGATCAAAGTTCCATAAACGCAAGTGCCAATCTTTTCTTCACAATCGATTATTGTTCTTGCACTGTATCTGAGCTGGTTCTACGTTAAGGCTTTTTCTGATTGAGAGTGGTGAAGTCGGCGGACACTGGCAATGCGATTCTACACATTTGACAAATGTACAAGGAACATCATGGCAATCATTTACTGTCTTGCAGCTATGATACTTAAGTTGTGCTTCCGCTTTAGGTATGCTCACTGATATCATGCCTAATATTGAAACATCGATTTCGTGAATGACTCAGAAACTAAATTGATTCAATAGATTTATGGGAGATTTGTGATTATACACAGAAAAGAGGGAAGGTTTGTCCATATACACATTTTCATGTTTTTACTATTTTTGCCTTTAATACCCTTTATATATTTAAAAATA